TATGAGTCGCTTAAAATTATTATATACTAAATTCCATCGGATTTCAAAGATAATCGATTGAGGTCACTTTCAAAAGGCATATATACGAGTACATATGTAGTAAAAAATATTGATTGCTCGTACAGAGTCCCTAAGTTCCCATAACTCACTTGCCTCTTTTATTTCTTTGCTTAGCTTTGCTTTACTTTGCATTTCGCCAATATTTGTTGCTTACTNCATTGATTGCTCATACAGAGTCCCTAAGTTCCCATGACTCACTTGCCTCTTTTATTTTTTGCTTAGCTTTGCTTTACTTTGCATTTCGCCAATATTTGTTGCTTACTTACTTTTTAAGAACTCTTGTGTGTGTTTATACAAATGCGAATGAAGCAACAAAATGAAGTTAACGTTAATTAAAATTTGCAGCAGAAAATTTAAGCGGTTCAAATTCCAGCCAGATATTTGTTTTACGAAAATGTTTTTCTGCAGAAAACTGCAACTAGATTTTGACTACAAGACATTTTATTGTTGTTAGACTTGTATGAAATTTTCTCTGCAGCAGCAGATTTACTTTAATTAAAGCATGTATCTTTTTATCAAGTACGGTAAACACCTCGATGCATTTAATAAAAATCGCTCCTTTATAGGTTAACGTAAAATTTCTGAACGATAATCAGATTTACGACCTATATACATATATACGTAAATAGTATTAATGCATAATGCATATAGTTTTTTAATCTGCCTCTGTATTTATACATATGTAAGAGGTATTCTCGAAATCTTGCACGTTGCACGGATTGCACGAAATGCAAAAATACTCTTCCAAATTTGGAAGAGTACGAGAGCACCCCNGTCTTGCACGTTGCACGGATTGTACGAAATGCAAAAATACTCTTCCAAATTTGGAAGAGTACGAGAGCACCCCTTGGCAAAGTGGTAGCATGCATATTTAGCAAGCAGCAAAATACAACAACAAGATACAGAAAAAAAAATTAAGTGAGCGAGATGAGAGGAATGATAGAAATATGTAGCAATTCTAACAACAAAACAGCTAGCACAGAGTCGCATTTATCTTGCTATGCTTTTTTGCAAAATATGTATCTACATGGGTCCAGACGTTGCATACTTTGCAGCGATATGAAATGCCGTTTCCCATCAAGAATGATAGAATTCTCTCAATCGTGGTTTCCCATGTATTTTGTTGCTGTGTGTTTTGCAAGTTATGCAATCCGTCAAATCCGTGCTACGTGCAATGGCTTTGCAAGATTTCCAAGAGAATACCCGTATACTGAAATAGCATACGAATTCGTAGGACAAAAGACTTATGTAGCGAACTTCAGTTAAAAAATATGGATCATATTTGTAGTTATGTAAACCAGTTTGAAAAAGCTCTAAGTACTAGTCGAAATGACTCTGCGAACTATGTTGTGGACATGATCATCCAAATTCCGAAAGAGGCGAATGGACAAGCTCTTGGTGCAAATGGCTGTTAATAGGTTAAGTTGATTTCCTGTTCCTTAATTTAAAAATGTTTANCTCTAAGTACTAGTCAAAATGACTCTGCGAACTATGTTGTGGACATGATCATCCAAATTCCGAAAGCGGCGAATGGACAAGCTCTTGGTGCAAATGGCTCTTAATAGGTTAAGTTGATTTCCTGTTCCTTAATTTAAAAATGTTTAATATTTAATTTAAGAATGTTTCATTTAATTTTAATAAAGTTTCTTTGAATCTGAAAACGGATTCAATTAATTTGAAGAGGGTTCCGCTCAACCTGAAAATACATAAATAGTATTAATGCTTAATTTGAAAATGGTTTCATTTAAACTGAAAATGCTATATATGAGATACTTGCCCCCCAAAGTGGTTCATAGTGAAGATACATAAAGATTATAAATACTCGGACCATATTTTTATTTAGTTACTTGTCTAAAAGTAGCCCGCCAACAACTAACTAGTTAGCTGGTTCTTTTTTTTTGTTGGAAAGCCTGTGCTTAGCCACGATTCTACAAATGCTGCCAACAAGCTTTGAGCTTCTTCAGTCAAAATAGATAACTCTATAGGGTTTTCATTGAAGTATCTTTTTCTCAGGAATACTTTGAANTTTAATTTAAAAATGTTTCATTTAATTTTAATAAAGTTTCTTTGAATCTGAAAACATGTTCAATTAATTTGAAGAGGGTTCCGCTCAACCTGAAAATACATAAATAGTATTAATGCTTAATTTGAAAATGGTTTCATTTAAACTGAAGATGCTATATATGAGATACTTGCCCCCCAAAGTGGTTCACAGTGAAGATACATAAAGTTTATAAACACTCGGGCCATATTTTTCAGAGTTACTTGACTAAAAGTAGCCCGCCAACAACTAACTAGTTATCTGGTTCTTTTTTTTTGTTGGAAAGCCTGTGCTTAGCCGCGATTCTACAAATGCTGCCAATAAGCTTTGAGCTTCTTCAGTAAAAATAGACAACTCTATAGGGTTTTCATTGAAGTATCTTTTTCTCAGGAATACTTTGAAAATTTTTTTCCAAAATATTTTATTTTTTAATATTTTCCAAGCTATTTTAAAATCCACCAAAATCCGTCGACGCATTTCTTTTGTTAGTTCCTATAAAGCCAATATTACCTTCGCAATACGAGGCTTAGCTGTATATTCTTTGTGGTTGCATGCGTTCTCAACACAAATGTTCCTTTCATGCAACACACTTTTGAACTGCATTATTTTCTCTTGCACCCAATGCACCAAAACTGTCGACTAAGCAGCACTTACTACTGCGAAGTACTAAATCAATACCATACATAATTTTCTACTACGCCTGGTGCTGCTGCATTCGCCGTTGTTATTCCAGCTGATACTGTTGCCGGCATTGTGATCTGATACTACATTTATGGTAGTTAATTAACAGCATTGCAGTTGCAGGAGGTGTGAAAATATTTCACTATGGAATTTATTACTACATATTTGATAATTAAATTAGCTGCATCCATTTTAGGAGGCAACCACTGCTGATCGCCTGCTGTTATGCACGTTCGCTGTACCGTTATAGTGCTTACGACTTTTATGGCAGCAATTAATTTATACCCGTGGCACGCCGACAACACTCAAAAAAGCGACGTGTCTGTCTACAGCCAATTGCGAATACAGTGTTTTCTATTTACGCATGCACTCATGTGCATATCGTCGTTTAAAGTACACAACCGCGTATGTGAGGTTGCATAAATTAGTTTCTAGAGAGTAAAAACACTCATATTTCAAAATGGTTCTCTTTTCAATACGGATGTGCCGGCTATCCGGTAGATATCCGGAATCCGGCTTATCCGACGGTTTTTCTGTTATCCGACTATCGGACCGGATACTAGCTAAAATCCTGTCGGATTTCCGGATTACAATTATGGGAGATTAAATTTAAAAATTTGTTCAGAAATTTATTGATTTTTTTTTTGTTTGTTTCATAATCCAATTTAATGTTAGATACCATTAGAAATTATAGTTAACGATTTTAATATTTTTCATTATGAAAAGAAGCATTTCCGAATTATAGGAATTTTAATATTTTTCATTTCATTTGACAAATTAATTTTTATGTGAAGGGATGAAAAATGTTTTCACTTCACGTTATCACAGAACAGGAATTGGCCCCTGCGAGGGCGAAATGTGAGCAAGTTCACACGGAAAAAAGATTCATGATAAGACTGAATATTGTTCCCATGTGAATAGCTTGTTCCCATAATTTAACATGCTAAACAACAAAAAAAAATTGTGAAAAATTTTGTTTTTGTTTTGCTTTATAATTTTTGGGGATATTTGTTCACATGGAATTCACGATAAGGCCGATTGTGAAATTTATAAAGGGGAGCAGTATACCGGCTCTTATTTTTTACATGGTATCCGGAATCCGGTTATCCGGCAAAATCTCATCCGGCGCATCTCTAGTTTTTAATAAACAATCGCATTTCTGGCTAGTATACTTCAGGACAAATGGATAAGGCTTGAGCCAAGAGCTTGTGTGTGAGCAAATCTAATAATTTTTGGCAAAAAATGTCAGTTACGCGGTTTTGCAGAACGACGATACGCGGTTTTGTACTTTAAACGACGATATGTATAACTGCAAGTATAGGGTGGGCCAAGTACAGGGTGTACCTACCATAGTCTACCTAGTTTGCCAAGCAGAGTGCGCCGTCGCTCCATCTTGTTGGAGCCACAAACTAGGATGCTGATCTGCCGTTGGCCCCAAAAAGTTGTCAATCGATGCTCTGTAAGAAGCCCCAGAAATCGTTTCTGGCATTTCATCCTCATTCTCGAAGAAATATGGCCCGATAACTTAATCACCGCACCAAACAGTGCTTCTGGATGGGTGTAACTGGTGCTGGTGTGTTGACCTTGGATTTTCGGAGCCGACAATCTACAGTTTTGCTTGGAAATACGCTACATCCGGCAACAAAACATTACCTAAAAACTCAATTTGTATGGCTAATTGTGTAAAACGGATAGCGTGTTGTAGTCGTTGTTGGTGGGGTTTGCTGAAAGTATCCATTATGATTTTCCAAGAGATTAACTATAACATGCAGAAAGAAAATAACAATAATATTAAAAAGGTAGATCTTATTTGGCCCACCCTGTATAGGCTAACAAATATATATACGGCAAATAAAGTTACCTCCTCTTGTGGATTAAGGCTTTCGTGCCAGCTAATCTAGTAAATTGCGGCTGGGCTTTACGGTGAGCGATGTATCCGAGTTACACCTACATAGGTGCCTTACTTACACGTGGTTCAGATAATATATGTACGTTTATAAATGTTCTGGAGCATTAAGAAGTGCACATATAAAAGTTTTCGTTTTAATGAATCAAGTTTTTATTTAATTGTAAAAATGCGTGTATAACGTATAAATTCATACAGCGTTGGCTAACGAATATATTGGTGATGTTCCGGATTCACAAGAACCGGCTTTGCGCCTAACTGACAAATCTTTACATCAGCATTGATGGAACCAAGCAGACATTAGATCTTTTGACATTTGCGAGAATACCATCCGGAAGGGGGTTGCGGTCAATAATTACCTGAAATAAAGAAAAATAAAGTAAAACACTATCTAGTTAACATTTTTTAATATATTAGCATGCAACAAATTACGGGTCGTTATCTATGTGCGGCATAATTTCAATTCAGGGTGAAAGCCTCATGTTCAATGAATACAACCCCCGCATTATACATTACAGTATTATTATATTACGGCGTTGCTGCGAGCTTGAAAAAAAAGTATCAATTGCCGAGCAGAAAAAGTAACATAAGCAAGCAAAACTGTTATTTGTTGAACTTTTATTTGAAAAACAAATAAATAAAATTTTATAATTAAATCAAAAAAAAAAAATATGTATATTACTTGCTTTAACAAAATCTGAAAATCTGTATGCTTATTTGCATAACGAAAACCAAACTTTTATAAGTAAATATGTGCAAGCTTGGGCATTGTATATTCTGATAGTTTCAGCTTTAAAACGCAAGAATATTAAAACAAATCAAATTTTTTCTACGCTCTTATCCATATTTTACAGCACGATCTGGACACCAAAATCAATATCACAAGCATAAGCAAAATATCAAAATTATTTTGACTTTAGCGTAATAACTGTACAATTTAGTACAAACAACCCCAAAGACCACACAAACGACTGACACAAGCCCGATAATGCGCAATGTTTTTGTGTGATTAAGAGGCCCTATAACAGCGGCGCGTGCAAATAAATTCAGGGTTGTATTTTAATCAAACTTATAAATATCTATATCTAAATATTTATGGCCTTTTTCATACATTTTTCAATTTATAAACCTTTTATAAAGCTACTTTATTTTTTTATGAGTAAGGCCTAAGACTTTAAATAACAAGAAAAAAGAAACAGTCCAGCGCCTTCGTCTTGGTCTGCAGGCTGTATCGGAGACACAGGCGCTAAATTTAAACGTAGAATACGTGGTATGGTTAAGAGTACATCCAAGTCAAAAAGGAAAGCACACACTATGAAAAAAATATCGATAACTGAAGCGATAATAATATCGATAGCAAAATCGATCGATAAAAATGATAAAAACATCTATAACAATACCGATAAAAACATCGATAACAAAATCTATAAAAATATCGATAACAAAATCGATAAGAACATCGAGAGCAAAATCGATAACAAATTCGATAAAAGTATCGATAACAAAGATGATAAAAGCATCTATAACAAAATCGATAACAAAATCGATGAAAATATCGATAACAAAATCGATTACAAAATCTTAAAAAAATCTATTACAAAAGCTGATAACAAAATCGATTAAGATATCAATAAAAAAATCGATAAAAAATACCGTTTATCATATCAATAAGTTCCGAAAATATCGATAGCAAAATAAATAACATTATCGATAAAAATTTGTATAACAAAATCGATCAAAAATGTCCATTACAAAACCGATAAAATATCGATTATTATATCGATAAGTCCCGAGAATTCCGAAAATCTCTAAACTCCCAAACTAGTCCCCAGATTGAGTCTCTGTCTATATCCCTTTCTCTATAATTACCTTTATTTTAATCTCTCTTCCTCTATCTTCATCTTTACTTTTATCGGTATCCTCATCCTCATATTTTTCTTTATATTTATCTTTGTTTTTAGTTTTATGTTGATCATAGTCTTCATCTACATATTCTCCTTCACCTTTGCCTTTGATAAATATTTATTGTGCCATCTGTTATTCAAAAGCCGAAATACCTACACACATATGTACTTTCTGTCTCCTTCTCTCACTTCCAGCGCATGCACGTGTTTGCAAAGTGATGACGAAGTGATTTTGTCTGGAAAAGCATTTATGTCCATATATTTGAATAAAATAAACATACTTAGAAGATATCAGCCAATACTTCCCATATACCATACGAAAGGAAAATACGCGAATTTTTGATAAAAGAAAACAAAAGCAAAATCATTCGAGTGGTTTTCGAGCATTTTGGTAATAAAAAGAAATTGCAAATTTTTTCAAAAATTTGTTGCCTTTAAATGCTCGATATTTGATAAATTTATATATAAAATTTGTGCACGATAATATTTCAACTGTTCCAAAGAACCCATATCCCGAAAATTAAAGTTATATCTGCCAACCATAAGTTGCTAGAGATCTTTAAAGGCTCAAAATTTACCCAAAAATAAACCAACATTTACCGTTGTTTCTACGACGGACACCGAATTGGTTTGCCACACTTTTCTTTGAAATCGCTTCACTGTTCTCGCGCAATAAGCGTTTTTGTGAAGCTTTAAAAATTATAACTACAACATTTGAACATAGCCTCCATATCGAAACGTAAGACGTGTTCTACGTCAAAAATGATTTGCCTTTAAACTAATAATATTCATAGTTTTCAAAAATTCATTTCTGCCAGCCAAAAGTATCAAATGGGACCATCTATGCTATAGCTATAGCTGTGGGAATGGCATCGTATTTTACGATATGATTTACTACTTCGATTAACACAATATCGATTGTTTCGTAGAATGACAAATTTAAAAAATATACCTTACATTTAGTAAATTTTTTTGGCTTGCCGCAGGGTACATATATCATCAGACCAACAATGTGAGCAGCATGCAACAGTTTTGGACAAAATTGGGAAATTTAGTTGGCACACAAGTGGTCGAATTACTAACTACTGCCGGCTGACGATATCATCCCGCCCCAAGCAGTCAATATGTTGCTGTATATTGTTGGCTTCTGGATTCAATTGCTTTGTTGTATTGCTAATTTGGTACTTTTCTCATCGCAAGAGCGCAAATTTAGCAACATTAAACAGAATTGGCTTGTAATTTCATTTCATTCGATATTGTAATATTTTTAGCAATTTTAGCATTGCTTTAGCGCAGCACCGTTAAGCTGATGTCAGATTAAACGCTGGCCAACTCCCATCTTTTTGTGCGCGTTGACAATCCGGCCGGTTTAATATTTATTTTGTTGCGTCCAAATTCGAATTTTCATGCAGAAACAAAAATTAAATTTCAGTAAAAAAGTAGTACAAAGTGGTTTTCTTGGCGTTCATTGTGGCATACCTTTTGCGTCTGGCGCTTTGATGGCAAAGTTATAAATGTCACGCAAAACCACAAAGTTTTATCTGGCATCAGCTTTAGTGCGCTGTTATTAGCATTCGTGTTTCGTGTTTGTACCATCATTGATAGTTTTCCTTTCGTTGGTATTCGGTTCGCAAAGCTACCGATCGCTATTCAATAGCCGATCGGCTATGCATCGCCAACATCTCTTGTTGGTGGTTTTAGTTTGGAATAATGCAAAGGCAACTTATTACCTCTACCATGTTATTAGTTGTTACTGTTTTGTTCTCGAGTTTATTGTTGCTGCACATTACAGTCGTTATTTTGCTGCAATAATTACGGTTTTCGTGTGTGCGTCTGTCAAAAAAGTGGCGTTTTCACCAACCATGGCATCCTGAAGCAACACCAGCAGAACGTCCATATTAGCGAACTTATTTTTTTTAATACTTATTTGTTTAGTGTGGCATGCATAATTCAACGAGTGTTTGCTAAACTCAAAAAGTTATAATACCCGTGTGCACAAAAATAGTGTAACATACTATCCGTCATACCATCTGGCCGTACTCTTCAACATTATCAACCGTTTCTGTATTTAAATACATTTACCGCCCTTTGCAAATTTGTAGGAAATGAACAATGAATTGAGCGTTCAAAGTGCAAAGTGTTGGAGCTGTCAGTTGAGCATGCGAAAATTCAAATGACCGCAGAAGTTTTTATTTTTATAAAAATCCATTTTAATTCCATAAATGCCCTCGGAGGATTAAGGGGCAAGAGGTATTAGAAAAAGTGCTCTAAACTGTCTCAATTAAAATTTGTTAACCAATCAACAGAAAATCCGAGCCGTTGACTTTTATTGTCACTCAGTCGTAAACGCATTTTACTACTATGCATACTCTCGTTTTCTTTCTTCATTCCCCTTCCTATCATTAATGTGTTCCGTTCCTGTCGTTCTTAGCTGTAATCTTCTTTCTTAGTTACTTTCGCGCTTTCATAACTGCATGATAAAAACATAGTAAGGTAAAACCGTTCTCTCAATTCGTCGGCCATGATTTTTTTTTTTTTTTTGAAGTTTGCCAACATTTTAAAATCATATAAAATTGAGAGTAGAAAAAAGGAATTGTTCAAAGGTATTCATCACATTGTGCAAGTAGCCTCATTAACGCAACATTACTGTGCGCACTGAAATACCACATGTTGGCTTTCTGATTGGTATTGTTGCGCAAAGAACTGGTTTACCACCATAACATTACTCGTACGAGCGTTGTATAAGGCTCAGAACTTTTCTCTCACCTGACCGCAAGACTTCTATAACAATTTGCTGACATATGACGCATCTTCTATGATATTTATATTCGTTTAATTTAGCGCACATCTGTTGCAGTATTACGGCGTGGCCATTTTTCTCTGATAAGTCATTAGATCACAGCAACTCCGCATAATACGAGGCAAACTGCACTGATAAGTCAATGACTTCACATTACCCGCATTGTATTTTTAAATGCTATACTGATGCTGTCGATTAACGATCATCTTTAAATATACTTCTATCTTTAAATAAAATACTGTTACATTTTGAACTAATAGAAAAGGTCGGAAACCAAAAATAACCTCCAAGGCGACCTCCATTAGATAAAGGAACAGTCCAATGCCTTCGTCTTGGTCTGCAGGCTGTATCGGAGACACAGCCGTTAAGTTTAAACGTAGAATACGTGGTATGGATGTACTCTTACCAAGTTAAAAACGAAAGCACACACTAATAAAAAAATATCGATAACAAGAGTGATAATAATATCGATAGCAAAATCGATAAGAAAATCGACAACAAAATCGATAAAAATATCGTATAAGTAAATAAACCATTTGAAAAATTTTATGTTTGACGCTTTGTTGTCATTTTACATGAGCCAATCTCATTTATAACTCACTGACAATTAATTGCTATTTACATTTGGTTGGTTTATTTAAGGCTATTATCCAGA